TATATATATATATATATGTTTGAATTTTATTCCAGCACTGTGTTGTCTTACCACTTCTTTTAATAACACTGTATTGAATTTGGGAAGTAAGAAAACCCATAGCTGTAATCCTGTTCTGTTCTTCATCACTCTCTCTCTATCTGCCATAGGCTATTTTTTTTGTAAAAGTGGACGGCCTGGACTGTAGACAACCCAGTTTAGCACCATTTTTTATGGGTTTTGACCTTATCTGTAATGAACTAAACCAGCATCTTGACAAGTATACTTGACTCCATGCTGTGATATAGTGATTTGCACTACAGAATTGTCTTTTAAATGTCGTGCTGCCAAAGTTCTTAATGTCATAGCTGTTTTCATTTTTAGCCGTGTGCATTTTATTCTGATATCTCGTTGGATCCTCTGAATGATTTAATTATATAATTCAACACAGGTGATGATATGCTCAAGCTGATATCAACAAAGGTTACAAAAAATATAATAATGTTTTACTATTTTTTTCTGCTTTATTTCTGCTTTATTTTTATTAAATACTTTGTAGTTAAACACCTGGTGGAGTAGCTATTACAGAGACATAAAAAGTACGAATACTGTTAATTTAGCACAGCTACGGCATAAACCATTGGATGATGGTCTAATGAACTTGTTACGCACTTTATAATCTATGTATTTTTTTTACAAAAAATGTTCAAATTTCTTAGTTTTAACATTTGACACTTAAAAATGTTGCAGCAAGTAAATAGTGTATTAATTATTTTATCATTATTGTATTCAGATGTTATTTACATTTTTATACAGCATCCTGACTTTTTTGGAAAGTTGTAACAAATGTTTTATTGAAATTGAAACTTGGAATGAAGGCACTAGAAAGTTTGTCATGAGGGAACAAGGGAAAAAATGAATTTCAAATGACAGAAGTTCAGGCAATAACTACAGGAAATCCATTTGGTTATATCAAAAAATTGTTTTAACACTTTACATAATGTGAAAACACTGACTGCTGAAATATATTGTGATTGGTGTAGATAGTGTTAATGGGGCAATTTTCACCAGATTTTCACCGTAGGAGGTTTTAGGATAGTTGTGGACTGAAAATGATGCTACTCACGACATTCTGGCATCATACACTTCTCCACTTCTAGAACCTCTGCCCCACAAATGGAGCCATCTGCAGGCGGCATCTTCACCATTCGCTCTCTCCTCTTCATGCCAAGACCACAAGTGGCACTGCAGACATCCCATTCACCCCATTCTGTAACTAGGCAACTACTGGGAGCTAAGACCAAGAGGAAAGTGCACAGTACAGAAAATTCAGTGTTACTTACAGTTGAGAAGTAACGTGTTGATATGAAAGTTTGATAAACGGAAAATGAAATCAAAAACTCACAGCATTCCTCATTTACCACACAGTTTTCAGTCTCCTCTGTGGGCAAAGTGCAGATTGAGCCATCATCGGGGAACTGTTTAACATAACGCTCCCTGGAACGTGTCCCTGCACCGCAGGACACACTGCATGGAGACCAGGTTATCCACTCTGACATCATACAAGTGGAAGCATCTTGAGAGTCAAAGGAGAAAGATGAAGCAGCCAATGAGTCCAACAAAGGCCGGATGATTTTGGCAACAGAAAGAATTATGAATTTTGAAAATGTTAATTATAAAATGTTAATTGTGTTAAATATTCTTGGACAGTATAAGTGTGGTGCCCTTGCAAATTATTTACACAGAATGATTTGGCGTATAATCAAATCTCCCTGAATGACGCAATTGTGATTTGCTTTTCTGTATTTCTGTTTTCATATATAATTCCTATGTTAACTATAATATTGTTTGTTGTTCCATACTGTTAATCTTTTATCTCTCTGCTGTCTGTTGAGGCAGATGGCCTGTATCCCTGAGTCTGATTCTCCTGGAGGTCTGTTATAGTTAAAAGGGATTTTTTTTCTCCCCCCTGTTGCCAAGTGGTTGCTCATAAGGGAATAGCTGAGTTTCTTTATATAATATCTACAGATCTTGATCTCATTAGCAACTTTGACAAAGCCAATATGACTATGGAAAAAAAGTTGCTTTCAAATTTATGGTAATTATTAAAAATAAATTTCAAAGTGGAATAACACTATTGTATCGTTCACGATGTTAAGTGATATTACTATTATTATTAATACGAATGCTCTAATCATTCTTACTTTCTTTTTATCATCATAAGTTTGATTGTACCAGAAACACAAATACAAAAAAGTAAGAATGATGTTAGTGCAGACTCACTGATATTGCCCGTGCCACATATAAATAACAAAATTGGCCTTTTTACCGTTTTTTTTTTGTTCGTAGTCATTTGTTGTTAAAAGTGAAGGATTTAACAGAGAACAGGGAAATAAAAATGGCTTGAATGTAGGCATCATGCCTGTTTTAAATGTGGGCGCAGTCTTAATGGACAGCTGAATTCTTTACATTATTTATTCATACGTGTCACGAGTCATCTCAAAATACAGAGCACCAACACCTTTCTCCAAGTGTAATAAATGACAAACTAATGGCTAGGTGAAGTCTGAAAACATAAAACAAGTCTAACCCAGCCCTGAGGCAGTGCTCCGGAACACAGAGTACAATTTACAGCCAAATGTCTCTTATAAATAAATATGCTTAATGGCCTCTTCGAAACAAAGTGTTCTCTTCGCCTGTCTTTCTACTCTAACGTTCCTGCTGCTGTAGAGTGCTACCTCGGGTATTTTATGAATAACAAACAAAAGAAGCATTTCAAAACATGCCATAACTTTTTCAAGACATTAATGGGTACGATAATTATCACAGATATTAAAAATGCTCGTAAAGGTGCTCAGTGGATGGGGAATCTGTGGAGGAATCTTAATTAATTATACTGTTTCTCCATCTTCAAAGCAGTCTTCTACTTTTTTCTGGCCAACCCAGTGCGATTAGTTTTTTTTTTTTAGATAAATACCCACCCTCATCACTACATCCAGGCCCCATGCAAGGCTCAAAATCCTGAGTGTGTGGGCAGGGAACACTGAGGTCCAACTGTGCCTTCAGCATCCTCTGCCTCATTCGTTTGCCCTTTTCACAAGTGGCCGAGCTGCAGGCAGACCATGGAGACCAGTTTGAGTAGATACATGTCTCAGGAGTATCATCTGCAGGATAGAAAGGGGAATAGGCGTTCTATAATAGCCTACCATTGTTAAGTGTGCTTTTAATCTTGGGTGTGTGAAAAAGAGAAAATGGAACAGGATGCAGACCTTCCTCTTTCTCCTCCTGGGCAATATCTGCTACAATGTCATCCACATTGTCTGGGACAATGTTGCACTGTTCACCCTGTGAACACAAGACAGACATTTATATTGCTACAATAGTCCACCGCTGTGGAAGTGGTTTGTTGCTCTGGGTTTCTGTTTATTCTTGTTCAGTCTTTCTATTCACCTCCTAGGGCTAGCAGAAGCACACAGGTAAGCAAAAGGTCACCATACATTTAAAATGATCCTAGTTGTGGTAGGCACACAATATAGATAATGACTATAGAGTACAGGAATGCATTTCATAATTTGTGGATGTCAACACAGAATCATGCATAAAAAATACCCACAGCTGCCTCTAGATGCCACTGAAGGACTGCTAACCTTTGAGCCCTCTTGCAGCGATAATGTTTCATCACTCCTCATAATTGAAAAAGCTTAATATCTTGTAGAAAACTAATTTAAATACCTGCATTAAATGGTTTAATTAACTAAATGTTTATGCTGCACTTCCTTCACAAGCTGTACTGAACATCACAATACTAGTGCTGCACATATTGCTACTACTGATATCATTATAAGAGAAAATTATTTAAATTTTTTAAATAAACCACTAATTTGTTCATAAGTGGTTTAAATATACACATTTTTTTCACAGTACTGCCCTAACAGAATACAGGAAGTGAATAAAAAATGCTCCCTAAGCTTTTTCTTCATGTTTGGGAGGAAACCCCTATCTCCCCCCTTCATAAAGGAATCACTGGATTGATGAGTTTTATTGTGCTGTAATGGAGCTTTCTTCAGATCACCAAACTGATTGCACTGAAACACTTTTCACAACTAAAATACAAATTGTGGTAAAAAAAAAACAGAATGATCAACTGTAAACACTGTATAATGACTAAATGTTTACCTTTAGAGGTCGGTGTATGCCTGTCATAATGAAATTGGGTGCATTATATCACTATTCCATCAAAGACAGAACCAAGACTTGACTGTTAGGAAAACAGACAAACCTTTCTGGCAATGCGTTCCACCATCACCCTCGCCACAGGGGTAATAGCACCCCCCTCAGGATCATAAAAAGGGCTTTGTGGATGATCCAGACTGGTTAAGGGACGAATTTTTTCCTGGGGCACACTAGGCTTGTTAGGAGACTAAAAGAAGCACAGACAAAGAAGGAAAAAGGGGGAAAAATACATGAGCCACAAGAAAGTGGAGCTTTAGGATTTTAAAAATAACACTCTGACAAGGCTTCTTTGAAAAATACATTTTCACGTTAAGGACAGTGAGCGCAAAGTCACAAAAGTTACACAAAATGCAAGTTGAACAAAGGACAAGTTTCAAAGTCAGAGAGCAGCTGTGGACGAGCAGTGTAGTTTATATGGGAGCTACTCTCAGTCAACAGTAAAGGTCTGCCAGCAGGGGGCTGATAGAAGCACCACCGCCAGAGGCAGTCTGGAGGCAGAAGACCAGCTCATCCTTCAACCCCCACTGAGGCCACCCAAAAGAAAAATAGAGAAAGAGCAGAGCTGTTTTTGTTTGTCAGAGAGGGAAGGATAAGCAAAAAGGTGAAGAGTGGTCATTAATCAACCGTTACTGTAAAAGTACAATGGTTGAGACTTGATACTCTGTTACAGACCTGTGCATTTAACAACTTTGTAACAAAGACGCAACGTCTCATCCTTCCAGAATAGCAACAACAGACTTCTTAAAAAGCTTTTGCACTACTGATATGGTCACTCCTTATTCTCAACAACACATAGTTTTATATCTCAATACTTATTTTATTTTATTTTGGCAATATTTAAATAATGGAGATTAGAACAGTGGAGCCTTTTCATTGCGCTGAAAATGTTGCATTTGGATAGAGTAAACGTAAGAGTGCACTGCATTACTTAGATCCTAAAGACAAAATGAACATTTGTGTTTAACATTGCTCCAATACATACAGTTCCAAGAAGGAACTTTTTTTTGTGTGTTATTCACATGCAATTTACTGACATTTATTTGAGGCAGAGATCTGCAGTCATTACATTATGTTAAAATGCATGTCAAACAAAAGCCAAAAACTGTGGATTCAGACTTCCCTCAACCAGCATTAAAGAAGAACAATTGTTGAGGCTCATTGCCACAATTGCCTTTTATATTTCTTAGCCTACATACTTTTTTCGGTTCTTCTAGGTCCACTTGTGAGAGGAACAAGGTGTTCCTCTCACAAGTGGTAATTTCACATATTTTAAAATCCACTGCTGAATACAATTTTGTATATTTGTACAGTAAAAAACAGAGGAAGAGAAAAGGTTAAATTAACCGATAGGCTGGCCAAAATAAACAAGAGGCTACAGTTCAGTGGGTGAACTGTATGAGCTCTAATACATCAGCCAAAAGTTTCATACATGTTTAGTTACAAAATTTGGTCAAACTGTAAGCCTAATCTCTTGGTGCTGACAGGAGATATTGAGCATGCAGCACCTGAGAGTGAGGGCTGAAGGAGGGACATTGCTCAAGGCTTTTAGAGGAGAATTGGATGGGCGATGACACTTGAATTGTTGCAGCCTGGCGGTTTGATGTGAGAGAGGGAGTGATTGTGAATGTGGGCAGACAGGCAGATGAAGAGGTTGGTATAATGACAAGGTCAAAATGTGAGTGTGAAGGGAAGTCTCAGCTGGTGATGAGAGCGAGGAAGGTTATCCAGGGGGTAAAAGGCAGAGCGAACAACAGCTTGCAAAAGGCTGCGATTGCCCAGGGAATGTGGGGTTGTAACCTTATTTGAGTGAGGGACACTAATGTTGTTGTTGCATCATTTTCAGAAGGTTTTAGTTAAAATTAGTTAAGTCAAACCTTAACTGCTTATTGAGCATGCATTAAGACAACTTAACTAATTAAATTAATAAGCTATTATGTTAACAAGTTTTGATATTCACATACAATGTTTAGTAACATCTCAGTAGTAAATTGTACAATCTTACATTTTAACAAACATAGAAACACTGGTATAAGTGCTTTCCTCATCATATATTTGATTAATGGTAGTTCCTCATGTTTCACTTTAGGAACGGCTGATGTCACAACAAATTTAAAAACATTTTACATAGCACAAGCACGCTTAGAGCAAAAACAGAAAAAAAACACTTTACTGTGCCATTGTTTGAGGGTAAATTAATAACATATTACATTTAATTTTATAAAATTTGTACCCACCTCATATGACACCCCACTATCAGTGCCTGCATCCCAGGGGATTAGGTCCTGGACCACCTTTTGGACCCAACCACACTCCTTTGTACACAAGTCCTCAGCAGACAGACCTACATTCCAGTCTGGACTGGGCCCCAACATCGTCAGGAAGGACATGAGGTGACGTGTCCGGTCTACTGAAAATTCTGCTGAGGGGGCAGCCCGCCTGAGGAAGAGTGTGAGTATGAGTTCTGAGTGCATCAAACCACTTTGTGAGTAAGGGAGAGCCCAACTGACAAGTGGGAATCTCCAAAGGCTGTGGCACACAATGGATGTGTCCTTCGTAACACCTTAGGGTAAGCTGCACCTGTTCTGGACAAAACGTAATCCAGTAATGCATTTGCTGTATCCTCATGTGTTTGTGGGGCCATGCATTTTCAATTTTGCCCTCAAGTGTCCCAGAAATGAATGAAACAGTTTGCAGGTTACTGAGATTTCTGAGGTTGTGGAATGTTTAATCAGTCCATCAATCACAAAAGAGATATCCAGAGTTAGCTGAACCGAATTAGGTGTCTTTAATGTTGTGTGCACATTCAAGCTGTGATGTGAAAATAAATATTTTGTACTTCTGGTTCCTGGCACATTGGATTTTGCCATGCAACTTGGTCCAAGATTATTATAGTTTCACAACGGTTAATATAAATTGAAGCAGAAATAAGAAAAACAACACTCTCAATATTATGCTCAGCTAGAAGGAAAGCTTATCTAATATTGGAATATTGTGGAATTTTACAGGCAGCATATACAGTGGGGCAAAAAAGTATTTAGTCAGCCACCGATTGTGCAAGTTCCCCCACCTAAAATGATGACAGAGGTCAGTAATTTGCACCAGAGGTACACTTCAACTGTGAGAGACAGAATGTGAAAAAAAAATCCATGAATCCACATGGTAGGATTTGTAAAGAATTTATTCGTAATTCAGGGTGGAAAATAAGTATTTGGTCAATAACAAAAATACAACTCAATACTTTGTAACATAACCTTTGTTGGCAATAACAGAGGTCAAACGTTTACTATAGGTCTTTACCAGGTTTGCACACACAGTAGCTGGTATTTTGGCCCATTCCTCCATGCAGATCTTCTGGAGAGCAGTGATGTTTTGGGGCTGTCGCCGAGCAACATGGACTTTCAACTCCCGCCACAGATTTTCTATGGGGTTGAGGTCTGGAGACTGGCTAGGCCACTCCAGGACTTTCAAATGCTTCTTACGGAGCCACTCCTTTGTTGCCCGGGCGGTGTGTTTTGGATCATTGTCATGTTGGAAGACCCAGCCTCGTTTCATCTTCAAAGTTCTCACTGATGGAAGGAGGTTTTGGCTCAAAATCTCACGATACATGGCCCCATTCATTCTGTCCTTAACACGGATCAGTCGTCCTGTCCCCTTGGCAGAAAAACAGCCCCATAGCATGATGTTTCCACCCCCATGCTTCACAGTAGGTATGGTGTTCTTGGGATGCAACTCAGTATTCGTCTTCCTCCAAACACAACGAGTTGAGTTTATACCAAAAAGTTCTACTTTGGTTTCATCTGACCACATGACATTCTCCCAATCCTCTGCTGTATCATCCATGTGCTCTCTGGCAAACTTCAGACGGGCCTGGACATGCACTGGCTTCAGCAGCGGAACACGTCTGGCACTGCGGGATTTGATTCCCTGCCGTTGTAGTGTGTTACTGATGGTGACCTTTGTTACTTTGGTCCCAGCTCTCTGCAGGTCATTCACCAGGTCCCCCCATGTGGTTCTGGGATCTTTGCTCACCGTTCTCATGATCATTTTGACCCCACGGGATGAGATCTTGCGTGGAGCCCCAGATCGAGGGAGATTATCAGTGGTCTTGTATGTCTTCCATTTTCTGATGATTGCTCCCACAGTTGATTTTTTCACACCAAGCTGCTTGCCTATTGTAGATTCACTCTTCCCAGTCTGGTGCAGGTCTACAATACTTTTCCTGGTGTCCTTCGAAAGCTCTTTGGTCTTGGCCATGGCGGAGTTTGGAGTCTGACTGTTTGAGGCTGTGGACAGGTGTCTTTTATACAGATGATGAGTTCAAACAGGTGCCATTCATACAGGTAACGAGTGGGGGACAGAAAAGCTTCTTACAGAAGACGTTACAGGTCTGTGAGAGCCAGAGATTTTCCTTGTTTGAGGTGACCAAATACTTATTTTCCACCCTAATTTACGAAAAAATTCTTTACAAATCCTACCATGTGGATTCATAGATTTTTTTTTTCACATTCTGTCTCTCACAGTTGAAGTGTACCTCTGGTGCAAATTACTGACCTCTGTCATCATTTTAGGTGGGGGAACTTGCACAATCGGTGGCTGACTAAATACTTTTTTGCCCCACTGTAAGAAGATAAATATACAGCTTAAAAGTCATAGTAACTGATAAAAATTTCTTTGACATTTTTTATAGATTCAGATTGTCAGACCACATCTATCTCCACACTACATTTACTCTGTTCTAACACTGGAGACTCACACACTTGCACCATCTTACTTGACCAATGATTGACAGCAAAACTAATTGCAAGAATTTTTCCAGATAACAGAAGAATAATTAGGAGCAAGAAGCTTCTTCTAAGAGATACAATTAGCCAGTGATTCCTCTTCACCTGTCATCATGGCTACATAAACCTATGACTTCAGCCAACTCTGTCCTGCACTTGCACATTCTGCTAATGATGCCTCTAAGGAGCTGAAATAACTGTTATCCCCTGAGAACACACAACTTGACTCAACTCCCCCAGGTCTCCGTTCAGAGAGTACTGCAAGTCTCCGCTTTATCTCAGAGTGCCACCTGGGTTCCACAAAAAAGTCAGGTGTAATTGACAGAAAAGAAGAGACAGAACATGGCTGGTTGCAAATAAGGCAGGGGATTAATCACCCTAGATAACCCCAGTGAAATGTTTTACTAATTCCAAAATGTTTTGGTTTATAAATACGCGCAGGCGTGTTTTTGGAGAAGAGAGTTGATATAAATTTTAGTAGGTGTCAAAATGTTGCTACATGGATATATTCAGTCATTCCCTTGAATATGACAGTTTCAAAAATGACTTGTGTGGGCGGTTAATTGGTGCGTTCGTTATGCTTGGTAAAGGAGACATAGACTACTTACTTAAGGTAAAGGAAATGTTTCCTGCATGCAAATCAAACAAATGAAAAACAAAGTTTTTTCTTGACAAAGTTACTTTTGATCGATTTCCACTGCTTCTTATTGCATTGCTAGCAATTGTTTTATATTCTATTATACGACATAAAGCTATTGTTTCATATCACGTGCATGTTTTGTGCACACAACATAAAATGGGCTGATGCTCTCACACTGCTTCCATAATGTTTAGGCTCAAACTCTAAAGAGGCCAATCCATTAACGATGGTTTTTTTTAATTTTTTTATCCATGGTGAATTAAAATTTGATCATATTTTTCTGGGTTTATAAAATTTTGACAAGATCCCCAACACCACTGGCTGAAATGCAGCCTAAAACAATGACAGAGCCTCACCTGTGTTTTACAGATTGCTGTACTGTTGTACTTCTTTCCTGACCCCCTCGGTACATATTGATGAAAGGAAATTTTAGAATTTTTATCACTTCGCGAGACTTGTTGCTACTGATTTTCAGTTTTTTCTCTCCGTTTCCCTTCCTTACGAATGATTTCTTAACAGTCACTATTTCAATGTGATCATTTATAGTTCAGCTGAAGGGTGAGCTCCATCTCTCAGGTCTTGTTGGGCTTTTTCCTGTTTTCTTAGGGACATGACTTTCAGATGCTGTTTTGTTGCAAATTGTTTTTTATGTTATTATTATTTTATTTTATGCCTCCCACTTTTTTTTTCATCCTCCACTTGTTTGGTTTCCTAATTTTTTTAAGGGCACACTGTACACCATACTGAGATATGCCAAGGTTTCTGGCTATAAGCTCTTTGGTATAATACTATTTTATGCCTGTCAAATTGTTTTATCACTGGCATTTATTGTCGATCCAACTCAAGAAATGGGAACAAATGATGTGTTTTTGTGACAGGCTGCTCGGAATAAAGTGCCTAAAGTGCCAATTTAAAATGGGCTCTTTGACAGCTTGTCTGTTGTGAGACACAACACTGGTTCATCGCTTGAGTTATGTCCCCTTTCGTATGCATGACCTAAAAATCCTTTTAAAATGGGCAGGTAATGGAATGAATATGAGCGAAAAAGCAGCCAGTGTCCAAAGTAAAATTCTGAAAGACCTTCAGAAAGCCTGGAAAACTATTGCTCAAGAGCACTTTAAAAATTAGAAGCAAGTCATTGCACAGGACTGTATAATAAAGTACTTAAAGCTTTTAGCTGCTATTCACATAAAACTCACAGAATAACACCATAGTCCTGGTTAGCGGGAGTGGGGAGGCAATAAGAAGCCAGTGTGAGTGTCGTGGAGCTGTCAAGCTGCCATTTATTTATTTATCTTTTACAGACCAAAGATAGAAAGAGTGAAACTAATAAAAAGATGTTTAGTTAGAAACTGAAAGCGCAACATTGTAGTGAAAAATGTGATTTAGGAGTGAGTCAGAGAATAAAGCGTAGACTCGTCAGAATCTGTGTGAAGCCTTCAGGAATATCTATTATGTTAGCGCCCACAACAAAATCTACTGGAAAACTGGTGTTGAAATGGTTTACTGACATCTATTTGGGACTGAAAATGAGTGTGTTTCAGTTTATAAGCAAACGCTGTCAATGAAGTTATGTTTGAGAAGTGGTCTTTAGTAGTTTGTGAAAATAAAGTTGTAACCTTCTTCTAACCTTTAGAAAAGGCTCAAACTGAGATTGTAAGAAGCAACACTTTGTGCACTAAAACTGATTTATTGCATTTTCGAAGAAAAACGATCTGTTTGTTTTAGCGCATCTTAACACAAAACCTCTATCCATACTGATGCTGGTGTTACAGTAGGCTTTGCAATATTTAGGAAAATAAGAGTTTTCTTCTTCAGTGGAAAACAATATTGAAATGATAGTTCTTTTAATTACATGTTAAATTTCTTATTACTGAAACCAACAGCGCTATTTCTGTAATATTTTATAGAGAGACAGTAACTAAGACTGCCTCAGACTCTCACAGTCAGGAAGCTGAGATAGATCATGACATTTACCTGGACTATTTCAGGATCAGTTACTTTTAATACAATTGCCAGCGTTATTTGTACTAGGTGAGAGTTCAGGTTTAAAATATTGCTTTTTAAACAAGAAAAGTACCAGTCTGTACTGACTGCAAAATGATATGACAGTGGAAGGACTATGGAGATAAGAATGAGAAACCTAAGAAACATAATTTTTCAGATGTTTGTAAACAGAGTGTTGACTCGAAGAAACACCTGCAGCATACTGAGGCACAGAGCTGCTTCTTCACTTTGAGCGCTGAGTAGTTTGTTGGTTTATTTATTTATTTACTCAGTCAAGAGTTGAAAATTTTGAACTTTGGGTAAAAAACAGTGCTTCTTGTGGTTGTCATGTTTCATCCAAAACGTCCAATCAAAGTGAAGAGGTGTTGAGAAACACTACATCAACACCTCATCAACCATCCCAATGGAGATGGGATGCACAAATATTGGTCTCTGAGTATTCATGTCTGTACTACAACAATATTGCTATCAAAGTAATGCAACACATTACTTCCAAATATTGCAGACAAAGCATCTCAGTCAAAAAAATCCTGCACCTCCTTTCCAATATTCTTAGCTGGGTATTTTCAGAAGAGGATCTGGCGTATCCAGCTGGCAAAATAGCTTTGTTAGACATGGCAACTTTGGGGAATACTCAGAGAACTGAACTTTCATCATGCTAGCTAGTCAAAAGAGCAAACTGAACATCTGGGGAAGCGATTCTTAGACAATCTCTCCAGCATTTCTTAGACAGATTGAAAAGAGGTGTTTCAGTAATGCTCAGTTTAAGACAATTTGTTTTTTAGCATTAAAGCACATAAACCTATTTTGGCAGGAATCTATAATAAAAGCATATTATTATGGACACTTTAACTTCGGGATAAAGGCCCATCTCTATTCTGTGTTTAGTCTAGGGGTTGTACTTAGACTTTGCACAGAAAAGTCATTCATACACCTAAAGAAGCACAAACATTGAGACACACCACCTTAGACATTTGCACTGGTTTGCTGGTACCTTTAACACACAAAGGTACCAGCAAACCTTATGTTTTGCTGCCATAAATATCCATACACTGTATGTAATTTCATATGCGAACCTAATAAGACTCTTTTAAAAACTACATGGTGCATTTTCTAATTTCATGACTGAAATCTGTACTTAACTCTTTTGATGCACAGTGACCATGGTGAGGGCAATTCTTTGTAATTATTTACATAAAATGTCCTTTCCTTTTTCCTCCTCCAACCAACATAATTGATCCAACACACTCTCGCATGTGCTGTTCATAATCACTGTGTGAAACTGTTAATTGGTTGCATATACAGAGCAGGGTAGGCTAATTAGCCCTTGTGGATATCATTGCTTCTATTTCTGGCTGTGTTCTTCCATTCAGATATTAATCCCATTGCCCTTATTCTAGCTCTGTGATTGAAGAAACAACACACACACAACAACACACAGGACATTTTTCTATACTAACGGATTAAAACAGGTTCTTGTTGTTGACATGAATGAGAAAGCAAATGACTCATATGAATATAGGGGTAAATAAATAAGCAAACAGTAAGTTAGTGTCGCTGGTGGTTTTCCCTGATCAGCGAGCTCTGATGATCGACTTTAAAATGATAACTTCATCTTAAAAACTTCACACGATGATTTAGTCATGCAAAATCTTTCAAAAACTCACTGTATCATTCAAGCCAGATGATAAAGCAAAAGCAGTTGTAACTGATAATAATATAGACTCTTTTTCTTGCCTCCCATCTTTTTACTTCAAGGTAATCCCATTTCTTTATGTCTTAATGCAGTTAAAATATTTGTAAGATTAAAAAAAAACAAAATATAAACGTGACTTTTTACTTTAAAGTTCAAATATAGACTCAATTTGCACATTCCCCAATGCCTTACAAAACAGCTCCACTGCCTCCAGTGCACTACCAATTAGTGTTAGTGAACTTGGGTGAAAAACTGAGTCATTTTTTCACAGTACTGAACAAACTCTACTGATAAGGCTTCTTGCTTGAAATGGCTCAAAAAATCCCTGAAATATTGGTAGGAAATCAGTACTGCACTGCAATTAATGATGCATTTAAAGAACCTAAGATGATTAAGATTTTGAAATTTCATCAATTAGAGATAGTGAGTATGTGTTTGTTCCTTAACCTCAGGTCCACGCCTGGGAGGTTGAGAGTTCTGTGCAATATGTTAGCTGTTTCTAAGACTGCACTCTTCTGGACAGAGACCTCTGATGTTGTATCTAGAAGCTGCTGGACCTACTCTTTCAGCTTGGGGGTTGTAGCACATAACGCTCCTATTACCACTGGGACCACTTTGGACTTCACCATTCCACATCTGTTCAAGTTATCCCTTCAGCCTTCGGTACTTCTCCGTTTTTTTCTGTGCTCTTTCTTTCTGATGTTGCTGTCCCAGGGGATTGCCACATCAATCATAACTGTGGTCTTCTGCTCCTTGTCAACCATCTGAATGTCTGATTTGTTGGCCAGCAGCTGCTTGACTGTCTGGACCTTGAAGTCCCACAGGACCTTGAAGTCCCACAGGACCTTGAAGTCCCACAGGACCTTAGCTCTGGGGTTCTTAACCACCTTTGGCAGTATCTCCCATCAGGAGCTGGGAACTTCCATGTGGCATGAATGTTCCTCTATGATATCCCAGTAACTTGGTTGTGCCTCTCACTGTATAGTGTCCCATATTGAATTTTTTTATATTACAGCTATGTGCTCGAGAGTCTCTGGGGCAGGTTTGCACAGCCTGCAACTTGGGTCCAGCCTGGTTGTTGCCTTACAAGAAAGTCTTTCTCCTTGGAAGCAAAATATGAAGAAATGAGGCTCAAGACTACGATAAAGCACTCTGCCAGCCAGTCCTTTTTCAGTAATGACCGTCTGTAGCTCCTTGCGGAGGGTGTTGATGACTGTGTGTACTAGAATAGACTGATTAGACCATATTCATAATGTTTGAAAAATAATTCACTGTAACTTAAAATTAAAAATTTTAATAATCTGAAATACTGCATTTCTATTTTCATGACCTATAAGCCATAATCATCAAAACAATTTTTTTTTTGAGATACACTAGTATATATCTGAGATATATTGATTTCAAACAAAAATCATCAAATTCCAGAAGTGATCCTAGTCAATTTAGATTAAACTTGTTCCTGTGTAGCAGCTCTGACACATTATAGCCCCATATCACATTATCACATTGCCAGGATTGGGTTTGATAAATTTATGATTTTTTTGTTTTTGGTCTGTCATTGATACACTGCAGATCCAAGATACAAATGAGTACCGCGGGCCTTGACAGTTTATTTTTGCTCACAAGCCTTTATGCATCTTTACACATCTAAGTCCTAAACAGTATTAAAAAGCAAGTTTAACTATTTGTATTATTCATTTTATACAATCAATTAGTGTTTTCAGGCAATTTATGGATTTTGTTTATCGATTTATAAGTGAAAAATGTTTTTTTATGTATTATTGTCAAAAAGAGTTTTATTTCACAACCTCAGGAATATTTGAATGCATGACATGATAATTATCTAATTTATTTATTTATATTACGATAACTGAAACGTCCTGGTATAAAGCATAAAATAATGTGCTGTTACATTTCTTATAAACCTTCCAAAACCACAAATAGACATCATCATAATTAAAGACATATCACTTACACGTTAAGCGGCTGCCAGGCGGGCCACTGTGCTTTCATTTTGATGACGGTCAGGACTTCATCACCCTACAGGAGAAAGATAAATGCACACAGATTTAGTTAGTCTGCTGAAATTATCTAACATCTCACTTCAAAAAGACCAGTGAAAGACTTTCCACACTCTATGACTTGGATACATGTGATATGTGTGGTTAAATAGCTGAATACAACGTATCCATAGATAGAATCTATACTATATAAAACTATATAAATGTAATGAAATTATTAGTAAATTAAATTTTATGGAAATTGTAAAAGCATCATATTTGATAAGACAGTTTGTAGAGCTTTTAATCTGGCAGTTACAAGAACTGCTATTGGCTCTGTTCCAGTTGGAACTCTCCACTCTCAATGACAACAACAAGAAATTACACATACATGCATTTTGTTGTCATCTCTTTGTGTTCGGTTTTCTTCTAAAATATATTCTCTATATCATAAATACTGTATCCAATCTTAATTCCATCTGTGATGCTGTATCATATTAAGAAGGTTTATAACCTTTGCGTAAAATCCTCAGTCAGTCAGTTTTAAAACATAAGTTAACGCCACACTTGCAAATTTAAAGCGAAGTGTGAATATGAATATGACGTCGAGTTATCACTTTTGAATTCGTAGGTTAGTTCACATATTGAAAAAGGTTTTGGTTTGTATTTATGCAAAAGGAAACATTTTTATTTTCTCAGGTGTTTTTGTATTTAAAAGAAATGTCAGATAATAATGCAGCATCTCACATTACTACAACTTTGGTGTATTTGTTTTTATCTCGACCTGCAAAGGTGACTGAGGAGAAATGTTTTGGCCATCTAACTTTCCTGGCAGTAGGTTAGAACAAGAGTTTGTTTACCAGTTTGTAAACTAATGAGAAAAGAGCTAGCAAATATTGCTCTACGACCAATAGAAAAGCCAATAACACAACAAGACTACCACAGTAACAAGGATCACAACTGCACAAGGCAAAAATGAACCCTTTTCTGACATTCTAGCCTTTTTGGAAGCTGGAAGGATACGTTTCAGCTTCTTTACCTGCAAACCCAGAAACAATAGAACCATATATTTTTACAATAACTACACTTGAATGGTAACATGTACTCAGAGGGCATGATTCTTGGGAAAAGTTCCTTTGAACCACCTTAGTCAACTTAGCCTTCCACTTATTTGTTTGTAATTGAGCCATATACTGCACTGAATAAAAAAAAAGTGAAAAGGGATGTTTGGTTTTTTTCATATCAAAGTGTTAATGAAATGTCACAGTGGAGAGCTGCATGTAAAAGGTAACATGCTGCACCTTTCCTAATATGAGCATCTTTTTTTTCTTTTATTGTGAAAGGACCTTCTTTAAAAGAGAATGACAGGAGATGATTAGATGTAATTGATGCCAAAATCTAAACCATTAGACTTTAAATGGGCACAACATGTGCCTGTGGTTGGGAAAATATAAGAGCACTTGAAAATAAACTAGTAAATATAAAGTATCAGGGTTAATAAATTTCTGCAAAGAGTAAAAAAAAAAAAGGACAGAGTAGAATCTCAGTGGTATTCCCCCGGCCGTATCTTAGATAGTGGCCGTCTGTTGAAAGTCTTTTCAGGAGCAGTAAAGAGGATGTCATCTAATATTTCCCATCATTACTCAGTAATTGCCAGATACCCATCACTTAGTAGCTCTCTAGACATTTTAATGGAATGGATAAGTGTCATAATTAATAGGAGACATGTCAGTATCTTGTCCGCAAGCTATGAAGCAGCCTCAGGCACATCTGCCCCTGCCCTCGGTACTATTAATTTTTAATTTACCTATAATTGACATCACCACTGACCTTATCTTCTAGTGAATTTTATTTTATGCTAAAATGTTCCAGTTTTCTCACTCAGAAGTTACACAACATGGTGCAGAGTTGCAGTTGTTAATACACACATAGACAAACACAGACAGTTTCTTACAGTTTCTAAGTTGGCAATAAGTGAAAGTTCACAATATCCACAATATACAGTTTCTTTGCAACTGTTAAAAAAATACATGAATAATGTTTGAGTTTTAATGTTAGTCACATGAAAAATATGTAAAGCAAGAGCATCACACAAGCAAATAGTCTAAAGCACCTACAGCACAACTCCTAGCAAAACAACCTTAGACCCTTATTGACTATGTTTGAAATTGATATGAATTGCTCTTTTTGTAAAAAAGAAAAAAAAAGGAAAAACAATGTTTTTATTCCCGTTCAAGAAGAAAGGAACCATCTGTCAATGCAAAATCCGAAAGGAAAGAAAAAAAAGAAAGGTAAAGGAGAACTGCTAACATCTGAGCCAAGCTACTGTAGCTTAAAGAACTGTTTGACTATCAAAGAGGTTTATGTGTCTATATTTTACTCTAAAAAAGGAAATAAAAATGTTTTATTTTGTAATTGCAAAATTATTACTTCTGAATTACAGAGAGATCATCCATCTTCTGTTGTGTATAAATATTTTAATGTATTAGAAGCACCCATGAAAACAAACACTCCATACAACTTTGTTGCTAGCTTTATCGAGCAGAACAGAGAACACACATTTATTGGCCTAATGAAAAAAAATCTGCAACAGATCATTATCTTGGCACAAAATTCTGAATTAGTCTGAATTAATTTTTTAATTAACATGTATAACGTTGCACAGATATTTTTTTTTCTATGTTTTCTTATCGAGTGCATCTACCATAGATTGTCGTGCTGCTATAAGAAAATCTATCGCCTAAGCAACTGGTTACTGCAGCATCACTTTATGGCAGTGCCTCGAAAGACATAGAATATCATGCCATCATGTTTCTGCTTCCCAGATGGCTCTTCATAGAATTTATTAAGAGATGCTTTGATTTCATTACTGCCATCTTTTTTCTGTTACTTTGTTTGTTTCTTTATAATATATAAATATAAGTTGTTTTAATGTTTTATGTTGCAGTTTTCCTGCTTAGAATACTGAATGTTATTGGTCAGCCTACACCACTAATTAAAGGGTTCTCAATGGAAGAATTATTTCAAATTTTTTGCTTTTCCTCATGTGTATGTCAGAGGCAGCCATAGAGGGATAGAATTTCAAAGATTCGGTGTAAGTAGACCTCCTACTGCCTAAATTGACTATAAATCCAGTAATGACAGGGAAGTCTAAAGCTGAGCCCTATTACCAATGTAACTTGTTCTTTGCTTCCCCTGCAAACACATACAGTAGTTAGCTTTTCAGAGAACCTGTCGTTTCCCTCAACTAATTAAATACTGAGCAAAAGCAAACCTATAAATCTTTTGCATTTCACAGGGTGGCAGCTGAGGAACAACTTCTCAGGAAGTCATTAGAATGGACTCAGAAAGTGTCTTTTCAATTTATATGCTTTAGAACAGAAAAAAAGCAGTTACTAATAAATCCACAGCTCTTTCCTGCTCTCACATGTCACATGTCCAATTCGAGTGTTTCCTCAAGTTATAAAAATGTCTATCCGGACAAATATGCAGAATTTCATTTTTCATCAATCTTTGCTATTGAGTAAGTAAATGTATTTATACAGCACCTTTCACAGATAAAAATCACAAAGTGCTTCACAATGAAACCAGAAATTAAAAAAACATAATGTAACACAATAAAACGACAACATAAAACAACAAATTAGCTAAAGGCTTGTCTGTATAGAAATGTCTTCAGCTGTTCATTTAGGAAATATGATTTTTTTTCTTATTAGAATCAGAATCAGTGAAATCTATATAAATGAACCCCATTACACTAACACATCATGTCATACAATATAGTTAATTCCATTAATGACTCATCATGTTGCGATAGCAGTCAGATGCTTCTGTCCAACAGGACAAACAAACCCAAGTAAATGGTAAATGGTAAATGGCCTGCATTTGTATAGCGCTTTTTCTAGTCCCTAAGGACCCCAAAGCACTTCACACTACATTCAGTCATTCACCCATTCACACACACATTCACACACTGGCGATGGCAAGCTACATTGTAGCCACAGCTGCCCTGGGGCGCACTGACAGAGGCGAGGCTGCCGGACACCACCAGTAGGCAAACATGGGGTTAGTATCTTGCCCAAGGATATTTGGCATGCAGCCAGGAGGCAGCCTGGGATCGAACCACTGACCTTCTGATTAGTGGCTGACCTGCTCTGCCACCTGAGCTACAGCCACCCCAATAGTACAAAGTGACATTAAAAATTAAAATATTCTATACAATAAACAAACATTTCAATATGAAACAAGGGCACATTTGTCAATGTAGAGCTAGTAATTACTGTCAGTAACCATTTAATTAATTTTATCTTTAGTTCTTTTTATTAAATTAAATATTAATTTAATAAATATTGATTATATCATATATAATTAATACAAATAATTACCTAATCATGTGACTTTGTCAAATGGGATTTGGAAATATGAAAAAGGAAAAAGAAGTGTTTTATATTTCTTATATAAATGTAAACATTTATTTCATGGTCTTAAGCATTTGAAAATAGTTCAGATAATGATTTTTTTGCTCATGTTTATCAAGTCTAGAGTGTCTTTTTTTCTAATTATGTTACGGTTACGCATGAGTGTAGCAGATTGACTTATTACTGCTGATGATCAGACTCTTCTGATATAAAAACTGTTTTTTCTGACAGAAAAGTGACAGAATGTGAGAGTAGGCTTGAAAATGTAATAGTTTGGTATTTTGTTTATTGTTTCACAACCTACTAACAAAAATTCAGTCAAATTAAAAACACAACTGTATTCAAAATCTCATGAATTATTCCTCGATTAAACCCGGACAGAGGTCATACTTGAGGTGAACGTGCAGTCTTTTGGTCAAAAACATTGTAATTATTTCGGGAAATCAAAAATGTGCAATAGCAAGGACATGCATGAATAAATAATAAATCTTCCATTTGCATTGGATTTTTTTCTTGACCCTGTTAAAAAGAATCATCACTGGAATGGATCCCATTGACAGAGTCGTCGAAAGCCACTGGGTCAAGCCTTTCCTGCTGGGATAGAACTGACCTGT